AGCATCATTTCAGTTCCTAGATTTTCATGAGGTTTTTGAAACTGTTCAAAAATAATATTGTGGTCCCAAACTTCCGATTTTATTTAAAAACTTTGGCATATTAAATTCGCCTAATGGTCACACACGAGCAGTGAACGCCTCAGGGAAGAAATAAAGTACATTAGAATAAAGGAGAATTATTTATTAAACAAAGCATATTTTGACAGTAGTCAAGACAAAAATAAAGATTAATAGAGGAATATTAAAAATAAATAAGACAGGCTATACACCCACAACAATAATAACACTAAAAATAATTAAATAAAATATAAAAAAAAAATAAATAAATTGTTTTATAAACACCATTATGAACGAAGATATACATCACCAGACAAAAACTTATAAAACAAAACACCGATCACAAAATAAAAAATATACTAACAACAATGAAAGGCATTTAATAATGAAAAAAAACATTAATGCTAATGTGTAAACATAATTTGTGTAGTTTTTAAGTAATAAACATCTCCTCAGAGTAGCGTCTATTATTACTGGCGTTTCGAAGAGGATCAGCATTTATAACTAGTTTATCCCGTCAGACAAACGTCATCGCCACTTATGCTTTACCCCGCGACTTACACCTATTCCATACTGTAGTAAAAAAGGACTCACTACAAATAGCCAAAACCCAACCAACCCCAAATTTGTAAAGCACCAATATATTTTTGATGATATGATATAAAAGGTGTAGATTTACTGAACAAACAAAAATAACTAAACAAAACACTTACCATTCCTCCAAATGAAAACATGAAAACAAAATAAATTAAAATTCTAATAGAAACATAAAAAAATTCATAAATTTATTTTAAGAAATAAAATATTTATTTTTCCGGTTGAGTGTGACAGCAATCGGCTCCATACCTATTTCTTTCTTTATTTAATTAAACAAAAGAGCTTCTAATGTAGAATTACAAACTCCTCCAGCAAATTTAATGAATTCTCGAACAATACGGCTTCCTGCAATAGAGTTTCTGTTCTTAGCAATTTTATTTTAAAAGATTGGTTCTTCCTATGATCCCAGTGGGCACCGGACCTACAAAAGACGTATTTTAAACGTTTAAAAGACGTCCAAAACGTGTATGAGACGTTTCAAAGACGTATTTTTTACGTCCGTCTTCACTATATTTCAAATAATAGTTTTTTCCGGTTTCAAATAATAAATTTTTCATTCTTCCAAACAATCTCGATCAATACTTTTATTTTCAATTTTTTTGAAGATTGTTGTACTAAAGTGGGTGTTGATATTGTAGTATTATGGTTTGCCATTTTGGATGGTATTTTAACTTTTTGTGCATAGGGATTGTCCATAAATTATGTCACGCATTTTATGACAGATTTTGATCTCCTCCACTCCCCATTGTCACAGAATTGTAACACTTAAGAAGCAAGTTTTGTATGAGTCGTCACAAAACTACCAACCCCCCTCCCCCTTATAGCGTGACGTAATTTATGGACGACCTCATATGTAAACTGTTTCATTTTTTTTTAATTTATCCTCTACGGTGAAAGATAGATTTGTTTTACGCTGCGTATGATTTTGAGTTAAGGAACGAAAGTTTATTGAACTTGTAACAATAGAATTTTCTATAGGTTTTTGAAGAAACAAGGAGTTCGTGGATAGTTTAGAAACAGTTGTTGCTAATTTTTCATAATTTCAGAATTTGATTTTCGTAGTTCATTATATTTTTTTTACAGTAAGCGAAGATCTCACTTAATTTTTACATTATCCGATTGCAGTGTCTTTAAGCGGTCGTTAAGTTCTTTTAAATTTGACAAGATATTAATGTCTGTAACATTTGTAGTTATTTTTTCACTATTTTTGAATTATTGATTAGTTAAGTAAACTCTTTGTGATGCTGTTTTTTAGCAAAAGAGATAGATAGTAAATAAATGTCATCCAAACATGTAGAGACCTTGTACCTTTTTTTAAGATTTTTCTTCAAAGGGTCATCAGCATCAAATCTAACGTTTAAGGAAGAAAATTATTCTAGTTCAAAGTTTTCTAGGATCTCCGTAAACAGAAAACCTTCAAGACTAATCATATTTTTCTCTTGGAGTTTTGAAAATTCATTAACGATTACATCTTTAGGATGGGAGCAAATTTCTTCCACAATACTAAAATAATTTTATACAAAATTCTAATTACTTTTCAGAAACAAAAATAACTCACCAATTTCTCTCAGCGCTAGTTTAGCGTAACATTTTTAAAACGTTTTTTTAAACTCTTAAAGTGTAATTAGTATTATTATAATACGGACTTTAAGCAAACGGAAGCAAATTGACATGGAGATTTAAAAACTTAACGTCATATTTTTTTTACTATGCATGTCCAGTTACAGTGATTCCCTTGTCCTCATGCCGTTCTGAACTAGTTTAATACGGAAAAAAGCCATTTTGCAGTTGTTGTTTTGGCGTTGAAATGGAAAAAAGAGTTTAAGTTACCGATATTAGTAGAAAAAGGTGATATATATTTTTATATGATTTATTTTAAGTATAAATATATTTCTTGTATTTATAACAAGAGTAGAACTAATAACTCAGGCTTGTTATTGAGTTCTTTTTAAAACCCTGCCATTAATAGTAAAGTTCAATGGTAAACTTTTTTAAACTTTAAACTTAGCTTGAAGAACGTTATGACTTTTAGTTGACTAAAAAGTTTTGAACGAAAATATCATTAATAGTTAGTTAATTTGTAAATAATTAATTTATTTTTTTAGAAAAGTTATGGTGTGGAGCCCTATTGAAGGACAAGCTGCTGTTACGAGAAATACTGCTAATAGAACCTTATAAACATAAATTAAGAAGCAGAGAAAAGGAAAGTTTGTGGGAAATAGTTGCAAATAATCTTTATTCCAGCTCTAATGATGAGATATATTTTAAAGTAGACGCTCGTGCAGTGAGAAAAAGATTCAATCTTGTGGTTTCACAATATTTATCTAAACAGAGGGCTGAAGAGAAAGCAAGTGGCATTAGTCCTCAGGTCACTTCTCTTGATAAAGCTATAGAAAGTGTTTTAGAAGAAATAAAAATATGCGAAGAAGAGTTGAATGATAATGAAAAACCAACTGACGAGGAAGGTAAGCGAGAGAAAGCAGAGGATATAAGAAAAAAATCTATGGTAACATTTATGGAAACAAAAAATACAGAAAGTAATGTAACTACTCCACCTTCAAAAAAACAAAGAACTTTACAATTGAATTACAATTACAAGAACTAAACCTGCAGTGAGAAGAGCTAAGAGCTCGTTAAGAGCAACAAAGTTAAATGTTTTCAAATATCCTTCAACAAAATCAGCAAATTCTTCGATTAGTTGTGCAACTTTTACAAAAACAATAAGATAGATAAATATAGTAAATATTTTCTTTGTTGCTATATTTTAATTAAAAATTTTTGATATGGTTGTCACCAAATGTATATAAGTGATGAATAATAAATCTATAACATTTTGAGAAAATGATTGTTTGAATAAAAATGCAAATTAATTGCTAGTTAATCATATAAATATTTCAGTTTTATATATGTATATATATATATATATATATATATATATATATATATATATATATATATATATATATATATAGTATATATATATATATATATATATATATATATATATATATATATATATGTATAAATATATATATATATATAAATATATATATATATATATATATATATATATATATATATATATATATGTATATATATATATATATATATATATATATATATATATATATATATATATATATATATATATATATACAAACATATATATAAGTGCTTTCAAAAAAACATACAAACTTACAGTTTTTTCTAAAAAAATATGTCCAGTTTTAGTCTTCTGGAAGTAATTGCAGCAAGTACTTTATGAAGTGTTTAACTTTACTATCTAAAAACACGTTCCTTAATTAATTATTAAATGATTTCAATACATTATAGTACCTTACTTTAAACCTAACCAAGCAAAAACATAAAAATGCCTGAAGTTGGCAATTTTTTGCTGACCTCGTTTTTATCTTTTATAGTAAAAGCTTAGTAAAAATAGCTTTATGTTTGCCGATTGTAATCTGATGCCAACATAAAACAATTTAAGGTCGACAATTTATTAGTCATTTTAGTTTTAATAATTTTGAGGGTTGTGTATGCATGCATACCTACCTTTATTTGGGTAGCAATGGGCTAGGAACTGCCAACTTGTGTATTCCATAATGCAAAAGTGTATCAATGTTTTCATTCTTGCTGAGTCAATTGTTACAGAAGACTTTAATACATGAGCTATGTGACCAACAACCTGAATTAAATAATAATAATAAAAAAGCATACAACTTTAAAAAGCAGAGAAAACTTATAGAAAAACCCATTAGAGAACATAGCAGTTTTAAAAATACCTTCTCATTTAAAAAAGGATTTGTGATTTTCAAACCTTATTTCATTTTATCCAATAAATATATGAAATCACAAACAAACAAAAAAATCTTACCAATAGCACATTTGGGAAATATTGATATTTCTCTAAAAATTCTGCAACTCAATCAACTCTCTCAATTGGAAATTATTTACCCAGGTTAATAAATTAAAATTTTATACTTAGTTCAATTAAAATGCACAAGAACAAAGTTCTAGTGCATTTTAATTGATCATGTTATAAAAATAAGGATAAAAAATGTAAAAAATTAAAATTAATTACTAATACTAAATTTACTAATTTTACTGAATTTACTAAATTTACTGAAAAGTATTGTTTTCTTTACTTACTTTACTTTGTATGTGTTTGGAAACTTGCAACTGTTTAAAAGAAAACACACACATATATGTCATATATGTGTATGTATGCAACATAAACATGGATATTTAGAAATAGTAGTAGTACTAATCTTATGTAAAATCCAAATTTTATAATAATAGCAATAACAGTATTAAAACAGTTATAACGAGGTAAGTAATGTTAACAACTATATCTATATTAATATAATAATAACAATAATAATAGTAACAATAATATTGATAAATATTAAATTTAATATTAAACAAAAACAATAATAATAGTGATATATATAGAAGTAAAATAATGTTGATATTTATATTACTTATAATCATACCAAGAGCAATAATAATGACCCACAATGAGCCCAACATTTTACGAACAGTAATTAATTTCTCCAAAATAAAGACATAAAGATGAGTTTTAGTAGTAAAGTTTAGTGATATAAAGTGAATATAAAAAATAAATTATTCTATGAATAAAAAATGATAAATTATTTCATAATTTTATGCATTGGTTTGTGATGTGATTTGTTATGCTGTACTTAACTGAACAATGATTTATAATATATAATTTAAGGTTGCTAAAAGATGGAAGATAATTTTGAGAATTTTTTAAAGAAGTAAAAAAATTACAGATTGAAAGAGGTAGGGTATTGAAAGAGGTAGGGTTTTTCAGACAAATAGACAATTTAATAGATGAATAAGAGCACACAATTTGATTTTAAATAGAAAGAAAAGAATATTAAAATTATAGTGATATTCTTGAAAATAAATTAATTTAAATATCTTGCCTTTAGATTAGATATTCATAAAAAGTTATTGGTTCATAAATTATAAGTATATATAATATATCATATTAGAGTGTTTGTAGTATGTTTGAAAAATAAAATTTATATTAATAGGTACGTGGACTGACTTTTTTAAGTTGATCTAATACTAGAATGCTATATGTCATTTGAAAGCCCTCAAATGCAGTATTTTAAAGGTGAAAAAATTATGAAAATCAGACTTTTCTATAAAAAAATATAACGTTTTTAGTAGCTTTTTTTCAATATATTAATAACACTGCGATCAAAAAAAAAAAATTTTCTACATAAATTATTATAACTTTGCCAATTCTTATTCAAACATCTATAACTTAGTATTAAAAGAAAGATGTAAAAATGGGCTATAATTTCAAACTAGTTTCTAGGTAAAGGGCGCATAAAGAAATCCAGAGGGGGTGCTAATCCGCCACCTACACCTCACAAAAATATAGTTTTTTTCAAAATAGAGTGTTTTTTTTATAAAATTAGTAATACTTATATACAGCAAGTTATTATTTATTTATTCCACATCACTAGCAAATATTACAGGTCTGACTTAAAGTTGGGTATTGGGTTTTGGGGAAGGTTTAACACACCCTGTTAAAATTTCATTCTTTTTATTATTACAATCTTCAGTAAAATTATTAAATCTATTAAAAAAAACAAAAAATATATTTCAACACTATAACAAAGAGTAACTAGTGGTGTGTAGACTGCTTTGATGGAAGAGGGCGTATAATTAAAAATAATTACGTTTTTTGAAACAAAAAATGTAATTATTTCTTGTCTGGGCTTCTAGTGAATAATTTAATTTTTAAATTACGTTAATGAAACAAAATGAATAATTTTTAACAATAGACACCACGTAAAGATAAGCCAGAGCAAACTGCCAATTTGCAAGCCACAAAACTTGCGGTACCTACTGGCAAACCACAAAACTTACTGTACCTTATTTGCAAGCAACAAAACTTGCGATACTTATTTTGCAAGTCACAAAATTTGCAGTACCTATTTGCAAGCCACAAAACTTTCAATACCTGTTTGTAAACTACAATACTTGCTGTACTATATTTGCAAGCCACAAAACTTGTGGTACCTCTTTGCAAGCCATAAAACTTGCTGTACCTTATTTGCAAGCAACAAAAGTTGTGGTACTTATTTGGTAGTCAAAAAACTTGTTGTACTTGTTTTCAAGCCACAAAACTTGCAAAACCTATTTGCAAGCCATAAAACTTGTGGCAGTTATTTTGCTGGTTACAAACCTTGCTGTACTGTGAGCATTTTTACATTAGTTTCATATTCCAATTAAGAAAATTCAAACTTCCCTGATATAACAACAGCAACTAGCTGGAGTTTTTAATCTTTTGACAGTTCAATATCAGTTCCACCTTGTTTTCAATAAGAAATAGTGTAAATTCTGCCTTGTTATTTCTTGTGTACTTTTTTTCAACTCTACCATCATAAATGGCAAAATAAAAACTTAAACAAAAAATTAACAATGAATATATAAAAAAAAATCTGATTAAAAACAACAAACTAATATATTGCTACAAAATATTATTGCTACAAAGTTAAAGTAGTAAACAATAAATTAATAATTGTTATTAATTTTTTAATAATTTGAAAATTATAACTCAAAATTGTTTATATAAAATAATATTGATAGTATAAAAGATAAAATTGTTGTTAATTTTCATGCAAAGTTTGAAGCAAAAAAACCCATAAAGAAGTTTAGTAACCATACATAAAAGTTATATAGAAAATTTGCATGTTTTTTGAACTGGAAAACGTTCCTTCATGACATCATGCTAGAAAAGAAATAAATTTTCATCAAAAGTGCCATCTTTATCTTTTTTTGGTGCTTTTTTCTCAACTCGTCGTCACATTGAAAATTAATTAGTTCATCCTCTGCTTTTAAAATATTAACTTCTTCTAAGTCCTTTAGAATACTAATATCATTCATATCAAAGTCAAATGGATAACACAAAAATACCATATGCTTTTTTAAGTCTTCAAATTTATTAAATCTGTTATCAAATTGATCATACAGAACAGTCACTATTAATGAGAATGACGATAACATTTCCCTTGATGGTTGACATTTAGTTAAAGTAGGAAAATGAGTACAATTACCAGATTCAAAATAAGTTTTGTTCAAATTAAGTTTTGTCTTCATCACAGTGATGTGATTGATCAAATCACAAACCAGCACACGGCGGTCTTGTAATCTCTTATTCAGAACATTGAATTGTGCTGTGATGTCGCGAAGGAAAGCCAGTATACACTTAAAATCTGAAATAGACATTGTACTGAATGAAAATTTTTGAGTTACCATGAACTGCAGTACACTTGGCAAGTACTCCCAAAATCTGTCAAGAATCCTTTCTCTTGATAGCGATCTGACCTTAATAAAATAGACAAACATTTATTTATGCTTGTAATGTTAAATTATTTATTTTCTGTCAACATACCTCTGAATGAAGAAAATAACCATGTTTATCTTCATTTTGTTCCATTAGCGCACAAAATTGACACCGTTTGAATGCATTGGAACGTATATGATCGATTGTTTTTACTACAGCTGTCATTACATTATCAATTGTTGCAACTTTAGCGCATAGTGCTTCTTGGTGTATAACACAGTGATATGACATAAATTTGCTACGAAACTTACCGTTTTTTCAGCAAAGTAACAACTCCTCGAATTCTTCCAATCTCAACAGGAGCGCCCCTGTGATAAAAGATATTTTATAAAGAGGCACTTTCCTATCTTTTTATATTTTTAACAATTTGTCATAAATGTCTTCTCCAGTTGTAGTTGTAGCGAGTAATTCAATTCCAATCAGTTTTTCAAATAAACAAAAATTCGTAATGATAAAACGTGCATAAACACAGAATTGTGCTTTACCGACAAGGTTAGTAGAATTATCGAGAGCGATACTCACGAATTCAGCTTCTGACAGATTGTTTGACATTTATTCATAAACATTAACAACCATTTTCTCAACTTTTCGAGTAACTGTACGCGCGAAAAAGTGCATACTTTGAAATTTGTCATGAATCTTTTTATCATTTGGGAAAATAACTTTTGATGTTTCAATCATGCATTCTTTGATTATTTTACCATCAGTAAACGGTTTCAGGTTTTTTGCTAGAATCCATGACACCATATTAGAGGCACGAGTTTTACAATACACACTGCTAGACTTTTTTTGAAACAAATTTTTCTGTTTTTCTAAACAGCTATTTAATGAGTCGTATTTTGTTTTTCTGGTTGTTGAATCGAGAGGTTATTTAGTATTGTACAATTCATGTTCTGATAAGAAATGACGTTCAAGCTTGTTTCCTTTTAGTTCACTAACAGTCTCATTATATATTAAACATAGAGCATTGTTACTTGGTCCCTCAGTGAAGAAATAAATCAGCTTTCTATTCCACTGACGTGCATATTTACGATTCGGTTTATGTGTTCTTGACATATCTTTGCAAGTTAATGTGTACATTTAGCAGAATTGCAACTTCTTAGTAAAGCATCCAAACTCGATAACCGGTTACTCGATAACTGGTTATACTCGAAAAATATTTTGCTATTGAATATGCGAATATTGCGTCTTAAATAAAAAGCTATTTAAAAAATTAAAGATTTGCCAACTATTTACTTTATAATACTTATTTCGTAAAAAATCTAAATAATGTAGTATTTCTATTCAAGAAAAGTACGAAAAACATTCTAAAGACTAAGACAATAAATTTTACCACTGGTTTATTAGCTTTTATAGCGTTAAATTAATTAAATTATGTTGTTTAGTTACTTCATCTGAATAAATTCGAATGTTATAATTATTTTTGACACGCTTTTCGAATGTTTTCATTTTTGTAAAGTCATTTCTTTAGAATGACTTAACTTTTAAGTATTAGGATCTTATTTGAACTGTTAGAGTGTTACAGTGTTTTAGGACAATAAAAAAATATTTTTTTGATATGACTAAAGTGACAAGATCTGATGAGTATTTTAAAAGGAGGCTTTATAATTTTTACAGCTCGGAAAAAAACTAAAAGGGCCACAACTTCACTACTTTGTGTAATATGCGGTTAGGTGGCTTGGGACCCAAAAATAATGTAGCAAAAACCCACAATTGATCCGCATCCCACAATTTGCCAACCCCTGATATAAGTAACCAGTATTATTATAAGTAAATTACATCAAATATAAGTAATCATTATTACTATAAAGTAAATGACAAATTTTACTGATTTATTTTTATTAGTCAGGTCTGGTCAGGTCAGGTCAGATCTATCCTTGTCTATCCACTGGTCTATACACTGGTCTATACACTGGTCTATCCACTGGTCTATCCAGGTCTATCCACTTGTCAGGTCAGGTCTATCCTGCTACTGGTAATATATAACCCAGTACAATCTGCTTCATGTCCTGCTGCCTTGTAGGATATGTCTCTTAAGGCAAAGGCTAGGAGATGCAAACTGCGACATAAAATACCCCCTGCCTTTGGGTTTCTTGGTTGAGTAAAGGCTAGAGATGTTGTCTCGATATAAATACTCATCTTGGGCAGATGTTAAATGCATCCGGCTGCTGTCTTGTAGAAGGCCTTCTAGGCAAAGACTTAAAGGGTAAACAGATTCTATCTGTTGACTAGGCTCGCACCTCTTCTTCATCTATTAGGCTGGCGCAGATGTATTTTTAATACATTGTTTCCAGTTTAGGATGTTGAACGCTGGATCTTTTTGACTCGATTTATGGGTTTTGCTTTTGTCTCTGTTTTTATGACTAGGCAACTCATTCTATTATCTCCAAATGTGGGTACAGCTCTAAAATTCAGTTTTATGATTCGGAGGCCGGCTGGTAGTCAGGTTTTCTGAACTCTGTGGTAGCTCTCAGAGAGACTGATTCCATCAACAGCTGAAAAATATCAGAGTACTAACAGTGCCATGTTGCGCATGGATGTTGTCCCTGTTTGTACTTTTGGTGTGCATTGCCAAGGCCACATTGGAGTCCTTTGTTATAGCTTAGGGTTTATTAATTGTAATGAGGCAGTTGTTTAGGCTATAAAACAGTGTACTGTGTACTAGCTATGTTTCGAGTCAAGCTCTTTAACAAATTTAAAAATGAAAAAAGTAACAAAAACTATAAAACACAAAAAACCACAGTCATCACCAAGTTCGCTAAACCTATCATTTACCAATATTCGTGGTCTTCGAAGTAACTTTTCTTTTATTAAGCCTTATCTCTTGCAAAGTTCACCAGACCTACTTGCTCTTTGTGAGACTAATTTGAGTTCAGCTGACTCATCTTGTAATCTTAGTGTTGATGGTTATCTTCCTTTAATTCGTAAAGACTCTAATAGTCACATGCTTGGGCTGGGCATCTACATTTGTAAGAACTCACCCATTTGTCGGTAAACTAGGTTTGAATCCACAGACTACTCTTTTATGTGTTTTCGTTTAGCATCACTTCACTCTATCACCTTTCTCTTTGTTCTATATTGCTCTCCCTCATCTCAAGACTGCATTCTTATTGATGTTATTTCTGATTATATTGATCAAGCCCTCATTCTTTATCCATCAGCCAAAATTGCTGATATCGGTGATTTTAATGTTAATCACACTGAATGCCTTGGCTCTAGTGTCAGTGACTCTGCAGGCATTAAGGCCCACAACTTTTGTCTTTCTCAATCCCTAATTCAAATAGTCAACTTTCCAACTCGCTTCCCAGACATCCCAAATCATTTACCTTCTCTACTCGACTTATGTCTTGTTTCTGATCCTAGTCAGTGCTCAGTTTCTTCACACTTATCATTAGGTGCTTCTGATCATGGTTTAGTCTCTCTAAAACTATTATCTCATTCTTCTTTACCGTCAGAATCCCCTTATCATCGTACATCTTACAACTACATTAAAGCTGACTGGGACTCTTTTCATGATTTTCTCCGTGATGGCCCCTGGGTAGAAATCTTTCTTCTTCCTGTTGACAAATGTGCTTCTTACATAACTTCGTGGATTAAGGCTGGCATGGAATCCTTTATTCTCTCTCGACGATTCCAGGTCAAGCCTTACTCTTCTCCATGGTTTTCCTCACATTGTGCTGCTGGAATCGCCAATCAAAATCATTACTTCCATATCTATCAGCAAAACAATTCTCCAGAAAACAGACGTCTGTTTATTATTGCTAAGAACCATTGTAAAAAGGTTTCTAATGCCGAAACCCGCTATTCTCAGATTATGAAATCTCGTATTTCATCACAAAAATTAGGCTCTCGTGACTTCTGGAGAACCTTTAATAGTATCAATAATATGGTAAGTCTGTGTATATAATATGGTAATTCCACCTCTTTTGTATGGTTCAGACTTTGTCACCACACCTAAACACAAAGTTGAATTGTTTGCTAAGAACTTTTCGTCAATATCATCTCTTGATGCCATTCTGATATAGCCAAAACAGATTGATCCATTGCTCGACATTCGTATAACTCCAGCTTATGTATCTAAAGTGATTTCCCGCTTAGACTCTTCTACAGCTTGCGGCTCAGGGGTTTCTCAAGGTTCAATCCTTGGCCCTATACTCTTTTTAATTTACATTAACGATCTTCAAGATATTCTCACGACTAAGGTGGCATTGTTCGCTGATGATACTACCATTTATTCTTGTCACAATAAGAAGCCAACTTCCTCTGATTGCTTGAAGGGGGCATCTGAGCTTAAAGAGGATCTCACTTCTGCTACAGCATGGGGCTCACATTGGCTGGTGAACTTTAATTCAGATAAAATTCAATTTTTTTTGGCCAATCGTTATCGCAATAGTTTAGCCCTTCCTATATTTATGACCGGTAATGTACTTGATGAGTCTCCTACCCTTCATCTTCTAGGATTAACTCTTACTTCAGATCTTTCTTGGAAACCTTATATCAAATCCGTTGCAAAATTAGCATCTGTTAAAGTTGCTTCTCTTTATCGAGCTCGTCACTTTCTTACTCTGGATTATATTCTTTATCTCAAATTCGGCCTTGTATGGAATACTGTTGCCATATCTGGGGCGGATCTTCTAATGATTCCCTTTCTCTTTTAGATAAGGTGCAAAAATGCATTGTAAACATAGTTGGACCTGCTCTTGCAGCCAACCTTCAACCTCTGTAATATCGTCGTAATGTTGCTTCTCTTGATCTTTTCTACAAATACTATAATGGGCACTGCTCGTAAGAGCTAGCGTCTTTTGTGCCATCTACTAATACTCATTATCGTGTTACTTGTCATACAATTAAGTCTCATCCTTTTTCTGTTACTGTTCCTAAGTGCTCAAAAAATTCTTATCCGACTTGTTTTTTTCCTCGAACATCAGTCCTTTGGAATTCACTTCCTTCATCTTGCTTTCCTGATTCATATAATTTGTAATCTTTTAAGTCGTCTGTCAACCGTTATCATGTTCTACAATTTTCATTTTTTCTCTTCCAGTAACTTCCAACACTAATTAGTGGTTGCTTGCAGCCTTGTTGGAAGCGAAGATAATTTAAAAAAAAATTAAAAATTTTATTGCGGCAATATCTCTTCATTTTAAAGCACTTATATGCCGTTTTATAAAATTAAATAAGTCTTCAGTTTATTAAACAGTGTTTAAAAATGATATGGCATACCAAAGCGGTTG